TACTTGTAGAGATTGTATTGTGAGATGCAGATGATGTGAAATTTCCCCATGTCACCACTCATTGGCTAATGAGTTTGCATTCGTGTTTATGTGGCCCTCAGTCCTCTTGCCATTTTATCCTCAGTTAAAAAAAGAAAAAAGTACACCATCAATTCTAAGACATTTCACTTTATTTAAAAGAAGCCAATATACAGGATATAAAGGGTATGATATTTACAACAAACAGTACAGTAAACAGGTTGGTTTCCCGGTAGGATCAGTAGTCTTTCAGTGAGTATAAACCCCCCTTCCCCTTGATGCTCGACCCAGCTGGCAGGTAAATCTTCCACCCACGGAAAATTCCCTTCTGGGAGAATCGGCCCTAATCCCTCAGCCAGGGCCTGGAGGAGCTGCCCAGGCTGTGGGCACAGCCAGGACTGTGGACATTTCATGGCATTTCCACTCCCACTCCAGCTGCCTAACAACCTGGGACCCACTAGAGCTCTAGAGGGTCCCAGGCCCCCCACCCCACCCCTAGGGAAGCCATGTGGTCCCGGAGCCGGCAGCCCCATTGCCACCCACACTCTCCCAAACTCAGCAGACTTGGAAGTGGATCTTCACATAGTTCAAGTAACTACTTGAGCCCACCCTGGAAGCAGAGCGTGCCCCCTATCTCATGCTCCCTCTCATCCCCCACCCACCCACCTCCATGCTGAATTCTCCACTGCCCGCCCACTCCCACAAGCGCCCTCCCCCCATAAGACTTCCAAGGACCCAGGAGCTGCGGGATCAGGGAACAAGGGAACTGGGGTGAGGTGGGGCCCATGCTCTGCCGAAGCCGGCTCATGGGTGTGGAGAGTAGGCGGTGAGGACAGGGAGACAGGGTGGGGGTACCGATTATATGAAATCCAGCAGCAACATGCACCGTGCCCACGGAAAAATGCTGGGCCACCACAACTGCCTAGCCTAGATTACAAAACCTTTGCTTTCATAAAAATAGATGAGAGTCTCTTGCTTTATAAATAGGTTACATTTAGCTTAAGTTATACCTTATATTATCCCCTACCCATCTCCTTCTCCCTCATCCCAAATCGAAGAGGTTTGATTCTCCCTAAATCATCTGAGCTGCACCCACAGAGCTAAGTGTGCGATGGACTGGCCCTTCAGAGACCCGTCCATCAGGACATATTGCCGCAAGAAAACAAAATGTGTTCACTTGCCAAGAATTTGTTCCCCTGTTCGGACTCTCAGAGGAGTGTGTGTGTGTGTGTGTGTGTGTGTGTTCCACAACCAAGGAATTCCCCATCCTGCCCCTCCCCAATTCTCTCTTATAAAACCCCCAAAAATAGGAGGGTGAGAGCGGGCAGCACAGGAGAGCCCATCTGAGAACCATCTAAAATACCAATGTCAATATGACACTGGGCTTAGAAGTAGAAACCAAAATTAAGTATTTACAGCTTTACAAAGGACGGACCAGCGTGTCCCCTCTGGACCCGGTGCTGCCTCAGCGAATGTTGGGGTCTTTCTTGGCAAGCTGTGGGCTCGTGGCAGGGGACAAGCAGGGCCCACTGGCAACTAACTCAGAGAAGAACTTGGTGGGGAGGGAGGCAGCCAGGCCAGGACCCAGGACCCTGCCCAGGAAGCAGGTGGGCCACATCCTTGCAGTCCCTGCCCCGTCCACCTGCCCCAAATCCCAGCTCCCCAGCAGGGAGGACACTTCTCAGCCAGTGTCTGCCTCTGGCTCCTGCCATTTCTATAGTCCTTGGACAAATTCAGGGTCCTCTAGTCCCCAGTGACAAATGTCTACAAAGGGGAAAGAAAAAATAATACCACTGGACACCAATCACCTTAGTTACCCCCAAAATACACTGTTGCCTTACTGTCATATTTATAACGATAGGCCTGTCCGCCCCCACCCCCCGACCACCACCTGGAGGAACCACCCAGGTCCAGCTTCCACTCTGCCGGTCTGCCCACACCATGCACCATCTCCCTTAGCCCTGGACGGCGGAGGCCTGCAGGGTCATCTCCCCGCCCTCCTGGAAACGGAAAATCTTTTTAGCAGCTGAGGTCCAAGCCCAACTGGCTCTGATAACCTTTGGTTAAAATAAAGCTAAACTAAAACGACAAGAACAATAACGGCAATAATCACCAGGTACGTTTGAACCCTGTAACCTTTAGAACAAGGGTCGGTAAGGAGGAGGGGGAGGGGCCGCCCTCCTCCGAAGCCATCGCCCCCCTAGTACCTGCCAAGGGCCTGTTCGCTAATGGGAGACGCTGGGCACGGACGCCTCTCGCTGGGCACGTGGCCACACGGCCACGGGGAACAGAACGATTCGCCCAACAAAAACGAAAATTAGGAAAAAACCATAAAGGCCACCAAGTTGTGATAAATAAAAAGAACACACTGTCACTAACACGCTTGCTCTCTCTCTCTCCATATATATATATATTATGTGACTATTATGTACAATGGTTTTAAGACTGCAAAACAGGGAGGGGAAACAGAAGAGAAAGAAGGCCCTTCGAGGTGGTTGGTACCCTGGGGAGGAAAGACTGGGGGGCACAACCTACCGGAAGCCAGAACCCCTCTTGTGCCAAGAGCCATAAGCCCCGGAGGTACAGAGCGCTGGTCCTCGGGCTCAGTGTGCTCTTTGACCTCCAGGGGGAGCTGCTGGGCCAACAAAAACAAAACTCGCCAAACATACCCACAGGAGTGGGGACAAAAAAACTTAAAAAAAAGAAAAAAAGCAAAGCCTGGTCAGCTGGCTCCAAGCTGGGACTTGGCGGGTGGCCTCACGCAGCGCTCTCCAACGCAGGCCCACTCAGGCCGTGGGAGAGACTGGCTCAGTTACTCCCCACGGGTCAGTTAAGTACGGAAAGAAGCTGGCAGATGTCAAACAAGGATGGTTCTCGCCTGAGCGCCGCCTCCTGCCACCTCCAACCTGCCAGCAGCCCTCATTGCTCCCTCCTCGTCCCTTCCCTTCCCAGTGCCTGCCAGTGGCCCGACAGTGGGTGACTGGGCACAGTGGAGAACCAAGATGGTAGCAGGCGGGCCTGACCCGGCTCCACTGGGGAAGGGGTGACGCAGGCCTGGCTCCCTTCAGGCTTTCTCACAGAGAAATTACAGACCCCAACCCCTTACAGTCGGCTGGAAACAGAGGGGAAACATCAAGTCATCAGGGCAATAAAAGACCCCCGCCCCCGCCCCCAACGCACAGAGGTCCCAAGAAAGGAAACAGTCAGGTGGGCCAAGGGCTTTGCAGGACCCAGGCCTCTGCTGACCTTGACCGAACCCCCTCACAGGCTGCAAGAGACATGGCCCTAGCGGCGGCCTCCCTCCCAGCTCCACGGGAAAACCCTGAGTCTGGGAGAGGCCTCCCTTCCACAATATATAAGGCAAGCTGCTTTTTTTGTTTGTTTTGTTTTTTGCATAGTAGTTTAAACACAGTGAGGCTCCACCTTCCCCCACAGTGCCTTGTCCCTCCACTGTGCCACTCGATCCGAAAAGAAACTAAGAATTTGTCTTCCCTCCCTCCTTCCATCTTTTTTCCCCTTTTGGTAAGTGAAAAAAACCCTTGGGAGGTCGGCACCCAGGCGTGGAAGGTTCGCAGAGGCAAACAGCTCCGTCCTGGGTGGACGTGGACCGCCCCAAGCCCCACTCCATCAGTGCTGGCCAGCAGAGGACGGGAGGGCATAGGTCATAGCCAATCGGAGGAGCAGGTGGGAGGGTAGAAAACCAGAATCTGCCACACCGGGGCCCCGCCCTCACCTTAGAGTTTTGTATAAAAACACCTGCTACGAATAATTCTTTGGAGCTCAAAGTGGCTCAGCTTAAGGGAAAAGGCACGGTTCACACGGCATCATCTGGACAGAAGTCTGCATTGGTAACGTGGAGAGTAGAAATTGAGAGCACCATTCCGTGGGTGGGTGGATGGAGAGGGGCACGGGTGGATGGTGAGTGGAAGGGAGGAAGGAAGCAGCGGTCCCTTGGGGCCTCCAGAGAAGGGAGGGCAGAGGACGTCCGTGTGGTGAGGACCGGAGCCCCACTCCGAGGAGACTTCCTGGCCTCGTGGGGAGAAGGGGCAGAGGCCCCATCACCAAGACCACCAGGCACGGGGGCCTCAGCCATCAGCTGACCATGGGCTCCACGTCCGCCTCCCGCTCAAACTCGTCCTGGATCTCGTCTGTACTTCCTGAGTCGCTGCTGGCCACGGAGCTGGGGGATGGGGAATTCCTGGAAGGATGAGAGAATGGGGGTCAGTCGGGGGGGCAGCCTGAGGACCCCTGAGGGATTTAAGGAGCAGGAAGGGCTGAGCAACCACTCCTGCAAGACCTGACCTCAGAGGGGGTCCTTGCCTGAGACCCCGCCCTTGCTCTGCTTTCCTTAGAATCTCCTAACCCAGTGATGGCGAACCTTTTGAGCTCGGCGTGTCAGCATTTTGAAAAACCCTAACTTAACTCTGGTGCCATGTCACATATAGAAATTTTTTGATCTTTGCAACCATAGTAAAACAAAGACTTACATTTTTGATATTTATTTTATATATTTCAATGCCATTTAACAAGGAAAAATCAACCAAAAAAATGAGTTCACGTGTCACCTCTGACACGCGTGTCATAGGTTTGCCATCACTGTCCTAAGCCCACATGCTGAGCATGGCTCTCAAGACCTCTGGGGGCCTCCTGTTCCAGCCTCTAATTGCTCCAGATGCCAAAAGCCCCGTGGGAGCAGAGACCATGGACCAAGCGTGGTTCTTACCCTCGAGCCATCTAACACAGGGACGGGCAGAGAGCACGCACTCAGTCAATCCCAGATAACTCCATTCTCACAGGGAGGCCATACTGGATAGTGGTTAAGAGCACTAGGGTCAAATTTTGGCTCCGTCACTGATGAGCTGGGCGCCTTTGGGCAAAGTCTTCGACCTGCCTAAGCTTCCGCTCCTCCACCCGCACAGGGGAGATAACGACAGTGAATCTGGGGGGTCCGTGAGCTAACGGTGGGACTGGCTGAGCGGAGGGCCCCACACTCTGCTTCCCACAGAGCTGCCCTCCCTCTTCTACAGCCTGAACCACAGCCTGCGGGAATATCGTCATAACAAGAAAAGCAATTTCAAGGAGCATCTATTTGCACCTTGTGCCAAGCACTTTACATGTATTATCCATAGTATTAGTAGCATGGCTATCTCCCCAACAGGATGTGTGTTCCCTTATTTTTTTAAATATATATTTTTTATTGATTTCTGAGAGGAAGGGAGATGGGGAGAGAGCTAGAAACATCAATGATGAGAGAGAATCACTGATCGGCTGCCTCCTGCACATCCCACACTGGGGATCGAGCTGCAACCTGGGCATGTGCCCTGACCAGGAATCGGACCATGACCTCCTGGTTTATAGGGCGACGCTCAACCACTAAGCCATGCTGGTTGGGCGAGGCTGCGTCTTCCTTAAAGGCAGGGGCTCTGTCTTTGTTTTGGGGTGTCAGCCACCCCAGCAAATAAAAGGGCCCTGGCCCACCTGGCCCCAGTGTGGAATATGGGAAAGGATGTGAAATTGCTTTCTATGGGCAAATGCAGGTCCCATCAGCCATGTGGAGAGGAGTGTCCTGCCCACCTTCTCCTCTCCCCAGTTCAGCAGAAACGGGGGTGTAAGCTCCCTAGGGCAGGGGCGATGGCTGCTACACTCATCACTGTTTCCCCACGGCCTTGCACAGAGCAGGCCTCCGACAAGTAGCTGTTGAGGAAGTGGGTGCAGGAGTTACGTGAGATTAGGGAGGTCACCTAGCATGCAGTAGGGAGGTGACTAATATTCCTGGATGGATGGCCGGACACGTGCACGGGGCAGATGAAACAGGCCAGACTTGTAAG